CCCTTCTGAAACTGATGCCTCCTGATCGTCGGGTCTGTAACCAAGTGTGGAGCGTATCGGCTCAAAGAAGAAAACTCGGCCTCGTACTCATCAACTGTTCGCCCTCCTTGCTTGAGCTCCACAAATCTTCGCAAAAGCTCGTCCCGAGCTGACTGAGGGAAGTACTTCCTGTTGAAACGGTCTGTGAAGGTATCCCACGAAATCGGTCTCTCCAAATGAGCTTTCTCTGCAGTCCACCAAATCCGAGTTGTGTCGGTGAGCTGAATGTCCATGAGGTCCACCCATTCAGCATGGGGGATGCGGGTCACCGTGAGAATAGTCTCCGTGACCTTGAGAAACTCCTCTGCTGCTAAAGGTCCTTCGGCACCGGAGAAGGAAGGAGGCCGCATATACCGGAACTCCCTGACGCTAGACTCTGGACGAGGGGGAGGCTGGGGCTGCGGCTCCCTGTGAAGCTGTCCCGCCAAGTGCTGCTGATTGGTCGCCAGTCCCTGAATCATCGCCAGAAGTTGATTGGGATCCACTTCGGGCTGTGGGGCACTGCTACTCGGGTTATCGTTACTACGAGTTCCCACCATGATTCTAAAGGAACGAGGATCAAAAAGAAAATTAAGGTTAAAATCAAATAATATATTTGGAAAATAGGAACTAAAACATAGTTATTAAAAAATAGTATAAGAAATTAATTATAGTCTAAAATAATAATATAAGAACTTAATTGTAGTCTTACGGATGAAATATGATATGTATCTAAATTGTCTACCATATTCTTACTAGTGAGGACTCGGGACCGTGACCTGCATGGGCCACCACTAAAACCTGTCACGCCCCGCTTCCCAAAATACACGGGAACCGGAACGTGAACAAGCCCGTGACGTATTAGATTGAGATAAGTGCTAGACCCCGTCTTCTCAATCTAATACGCTAAGCGTCAAGAAATACAAACGAAGTCACAGGTCCCCGATCACACATAGCAAGAATATAAAGACAACCCAGGAATAAAATAATACATATCACAAAATAGACATATCATCAATGGTAAATCATCCCAGACATAAAATATGGGTCAAACGTACCCTTATTACAACAACAGTTCAACTAGGAAATAAGAAATACATAGTCCATAATAAAAGGAAATAAAATAACTAAATATATCATCAAACTAAAGAAAAGTGCGGTGAAAGAGTTTTAATATCCAACTACTACTACAGAAGAAAATCACTACGCTTCAGTTGGTTCTTCTACTCTTTCTGCGAGACACTCCTGCTAAGAATCTTCTGGCTCCTGTACGATTCCGAACTGAGGCTGCTCATCTCCTAAATCTGACGTACACCCAGAAAATAGGAGTACGTCAGCGTGTGGAACACACGGCAAGATCCCCCAAGGCAGGAACAAATACAATAACAGTAATGATAATATATGCGTGGTCAATGCTATAACAGAAATAGAAATAG